ACAATGCAACTGCAAGAAAGGGTATGAATTGCTAACCAAAGAACAACAACAACAACAACAACAACAACAACACATTTGATTAGATCATTTACTAATCAATCTCAACATCCTTCTCTTATTCAGATATACCTCTGCTCGAGATTGCCAAGTTGAAGGTACAATCCAAGATTCCAGATGACAAGTGGCTTGAGAGGATGAGAGAATTGCGGCTTCACACAAGGGTCTACTCTCTGCGCAGGATAAAGTTGGCGTTGGAGCATATATCCAAGAACAAACTAGACCTCAGAACGATCCCAAATGGATACTACAATATCCTGCCGTCTACATTGAAGAGAGCACTTGAATCTGATGCGGCATACTTCAAGATGATGGACCACTCATCAATGATCGGATGCCCACCATCCTCACTCTCTTCTTGTCAATCATCTACTCCACGACAGGCAGATCAACAATCGTCTACGTCACATTTGTCCGCTACTGCTCCACCACCACCATCGATTGCTCCTCCACAAAGTCAGCAATCGTCGTCAACATTGCACACGTCTGCTGCTCCACCACCAACATTGATTGCTCCTCCACCAGTTCAGCAATCGTCGTCAACATCGCATACGTCTGTTGCTGCTCCACTACCACCACCATCGACTGTAACACACAGGTCTGATGCTGTTCCAACACCAGGCAGCTCAAAAGACAATCCGATTGAACTCGTCACTCACCTTATGCTCGATGGAGCCAAGATGAATAAGAACAATCGAAAGCCAACAGAGATTGGAGTTGCACAGATTGTCGACCCACGAAAGTCACTATCCAGAATCAAGTCTCCAGAAGATGGTGTGACGTTCCTCTCATACACTGGCTCAGAGACCACAGAGAAGCTTTATGAAGCACTGGCTGGGCTCCGCATCGACTTGCAGATCCTAAAGGATAACAATAACATCATGGAGATCGATGGCGTATACTACAGAGTCACTGTCCTTTACGGATTCGACCTGGTCTGTGCGAGCACAGTCACTGGAATGTGTGGCATGCATCTATCTCATTCAACCTACCGCTGCATTCTTTGTCACTGCACCAATGACACCATCAACCATGTGTCTCGACTGGACCAGTTCACACTCAGAACACTGGAGTCAATCAAACATGATGCTGATATGATCAAGGCGAAGTTGGACAAGGGCACAAAGACTATCGTTGCAAAGAACTTCCATGGGATGTGCACAATACCTCCATTGATCATCGACCCATTGCAGTTCATATTGGATTCACTGCACTCTATCATGGGCGTCGTCAATTTCTACAAGAAAAGGGTGCTTGACTTCACAGAAGACCCTAGATTGTCTCCTGAGGTCAGAGCCACACTTGCCAGTAGTTTCATTCAGTTCCTCAAGGACTATGCCAAGCTTCACCTGGTCACTGGTGATACCGATAAGAATGGAGAGCACGTGACTCTGAAGGATCGCTTCACAAAGAGTGCTGTGAACTATGAAGAGTTCAAGAGAATACTCAAGCATAGGGTTCCATTGCTCAACATCTTGGAGACGGCAATAGGCACAGAAAGAACTAAATCTGTATGTGTATCATCCTTTCATCCTTTCATTCATTCATTCATTCATTCATTCATTCATTCATTCATTCATTCATTCATTCATTCATTCATTCATATAACAAATATAGATATATATATATGTATAACTGTATAATGTATAGAATGCCCGCTTTATTAGTGTATTATGAATGATGTATATATACTGATTAGATGGAACATGGAATAGTGTTCTGTAGATTCCAGGATGATGACTCAGCAATGATAGAATGTATGAGTCATGGTGACACATCGTGAATCGTATGTGACAAGTCGTCACACTCACCTCTTCTTCTTAGAGGTAGACTTGCTTGACTTGGACTTAGTCTTGGACTTGGACTTGGAAGGTTCGTCTGTTGATTGATTGATGATGTTCTTGAGATTGTAGGCTTGAAGGATGTCTACACAATGAGTGAGATTATCTGATGTTTCCCATGTTGCATTGGCTTCATCGTATCCAAACCACTTGACCAAATACTCGACACTCTTGTTCCTCTTGGTGCGGTGGTTGATGATCCTTTCCACCTCGTGTTCGAGCTCTCCATCTATGATCTCGCCGTTTGGCTCAGAGTTTGGTCTCTCCTCCTTCTTGAAAAGGTCATCAGCGTTCTCAATGTATAGTTTGATGTCACTGACATTGAATGTTCTGATACGCTTGGCTGACTCTGGTAGGTCGACTTCGACCAATGACTTGTTGATGATGCGCGCAACCTTGAATGGACCATAGTAGTTTGCTAGCAGCTTGCTCGATGTCTCCAACTGTCTCTCATAGCTTGATGGGAATGACTTGCGCGTGG